TCCGGAACGTGCCGTCTCATGGTACAGCGTGCCTCCGGAACGTGCCGTCTCATGGTACAGCGTGCCTCCGGAACGTGCCGTCTCATGGTACAGCGTGCCTCCGGACGGTGCGGTGGTCTGTGCACCAGGTGATTTAAAGACCCACAAGTCCCCACAAGTGTGAGATGAAGCAGTGTGTGTCTGCTGCTGAGGACAGGGGGAGGACAGGTCTCTGACGTCCGCCTTCATGTGGGCTCTGTTGGCCTCTCAGTGGTTCTGCACTCAGCACATGGTTTTCAGAATGAGGTGAGTTAGAGCCAAATCGATGAATGAAGCGGCCGGGAAGGGGGTGTCAGTCCCCTCGCCATCTCTGCTCAGTCCATTCATCTGTCTTCTTTTCCGTTTAACCAGTCGGGGGGTCACAACAGACACATTATGCAGGAATCCCAAAAGAAGCCTTTTGAGGTGCGAGTGGGGGCTGCTCATGAATACCGGGGGGGGGACACGTTTACATCTGCATTTCAGTTCTGTATTTCAGACCCACATCTGACCTCGCTGATATTTTTCTTGATCTCTAACATTGTTTGTTGGCAGCCAGACTGGATCCAGACAAGCTTCTGTTTTGCCGTCTCACTTCACAGCCAAGCAGATGCCATCGAATAGCTGAGCGGCCTTATGGACTGTAATCAGCGTGTGCAACATTCCCTCTGATAAGTGAACATGATGTGGTTACCAGTGACTGTTTACACCTTTTAATGGCTGGGATTTGACCTTTAACCTGATTTAATCGCGCTGGTGTCTTGCTGCCCTGATTTGCATGTGAAAGGCAGCTTACGTTCGTGAGAAGCATGGGGAGGAAGGACCCTCCTCCAGGGGGCACCATTCCCCCCCTTTTCATCTTTCACATGCAGATGAATGAAGGACACGGTGAGCCCCCCCCCCCCCCCCCCCCCCAGCCGGAGGGGAGCCCGCTGGTTCTGTCCTCACAGGCCTCGGCGTGCCTGTGTCCATGCGGCGGGAGAGCTTAGAGTCACACCGCCTACGTGGCTTTTCGTTAGAAATTCAGTGCGGCTAATTGACGGCAGTAGATGGTCCTGAAAAGGCGTCATGGCCGACCAGCTGATCTGGGCGTCGTTTCTGCTTCAAAGGTCTCAGTGAGGTATAGTCATCCGTCTCCCCCCCCCCCAAAATAGCAATCACGGCCATTGACTATCAGACGCCAGGGATTAGGTGGTCCATGTAAAGATCCGATCTGCGCGCTGGTTGTAGCGTGTCTGCGGGCAGAATGTGGCGTTTCGGATGCACACCAGTGACTTTCATTGACGAGCGTGGTGGTGCCATTTCAGCTCCTCAGTAGGTCGGGGGTGGCGTCCTCTGCACGGCTGACACAAGCTTGCAAGCTCCCACAAGACCGTCGCCGAGAGAGTGATGGCGTGAGCCACTGCCCCCCCTGTGCAGAGTGATTCGCTTGTGTTGGGGCGGTGCTGCTGTCGTGTAGAGAAACCCACTTGCGGCGCCGCTGCTGGGAATGGCCAGGGCCGGCTTGAAGCGATGCGCTCAGATCCGGGCTGCACAGACCCCTTGTCAATCTGACCTGGGGTTATAAGCCTCTGAACTGACTTGATATACTGAGGTGAGCGGAATTGTAAGTGCTACACTGCCACCTGTTGGCCATTTGCATGAAGTGTCAGGGTGCTTTATGCAGCATTATGTGGGGTATTCCTCACTGTAGGAACTGTTAAGGCTTAAAGGGGGGGGGTTAATGCGCACTCTGTGTGGACAATGAAACCCCTGTAAGTGTTGTTGCAATAAGTGCCGTTTTTTTACTTCTGGTACCGTAAATAATGTATGAAATGCTCTCAGATTTCCATGGACATTACCAGCACCACCTCCAAGCTTTTACTTTATTTTTCCTTTTTAAAGGGGTCTGATAGCATATGTTTGGGGGGAGACTGAAGTGTGAGTGGGGTTTCCTCACTGATGGGGGGTGAGGCTGTCGGGGCTCAGTTTTACAGGCGACAGGTCCCGCTGAGCTGAGCCGGGCCACGCCATTTTGGGTCCACGTTTTGTGGGCCAGATATTTCAAAACCACCGAATTAGGAGGAGAAAAGAAAACATGACAGTCGAGCTTAGCAGTGTGTCTGATAATTGAGGTGTCTAGACATGAGCAAAGAATGATCAGTAGCTGCAGTAATGATGGTAATATGCCAGACAGTATCGCTGTGGTTTCGCCAGGATGTTAAGCAACAGCTCAGTCAGTTTTAGGTTCATGTCAATTCTGAAGGAGTGACAGCGTGAAGCCTTTTTGGAGAGCAGCTTTTGTGAGTAATGTGTGAGTAAAAGCCTTTTCTGTGTAAACATCGACCAGCCCTAAGTGACATCAGCAAGGTGTCTTAGCCGCTGCCTGCTGACTGAATCAGGTACTGATTAGCAGGAAGTGCTGACACTTCAGGGGCTGCCTGTAGGAACATGCAGGCCATGTCACCTTCCCGAGGGCTTGAGTCTGTCACGCCTGCACTCGGGGCAGGCTGTAGCGGGGAGCCCCAGGAGCATGTACAGGCTGGGTGCCCCCCCGTCTGCCCTGCCATGCTCTGAGAGAGCCAGCACACCGTTTGTGGGAGAGGCGTCGACAGAAAGCCTGTCTGGGGAGTAAGCGAGCGAGCGAGTGAGAGAGAGAGAGAGAGAGAGTGCCGCCCTGCAGGCGGGCAGGCTGGGGCGGCGGCAGGAGGAGCCAAGGCTGTGGGAGCCTGGAACCCTGGGCCGTGGCCTCGGCCGGCCATGCACTCCCTCCGGAGCACTGAGGAGGGAACATGTGGCTCCTGGGGGCCACACAGAGGCCCCGCACTCAGCTGGTGGACTGCATGTGCTGCATGGGTCAGTAGATTCTCCTCCCCTCTCTCTCTCTCCCTCCCTCGCTCCCTCAGTCTCCGTTGTTTTGTCGATTTCTTCACTCTGTTTTTGCCCGAGCTGTTTGTTGACAGCCACGGGGCAGGCGCAGTGCATGGGTAACCTGGGAGGTCATGTGACTTCTGTCACCCTGCCTGTGCTTCTGTCTTGCATGCTCGGTTGTTGTGGATGGAAGTGAAAAAAAGACGGACATGGGGGGGGGTTAGTGTGGGCTCTTATCCACGTGGTGATCGATGAGAACAGTGCGGCTCCCTTTTGTTACTTTAACGCTGATAATCTTCTCTAGATGCCGGCAGAAAAGTGTGTGTTTGCTTAAACCGGCACAAAGTCAACACTCGTCAGGAAGTAGCCAGTGTTCTAGGCCATGCTTGAGAAGCGGGTCAGTCTCGGCTCGCGTCTGTTTCACAGTTTGTCCCAGTGAGATTCAGGCTTTGGCCTTGACAGAGAGAAGTTGGCCAGCATGTATGTCGTCATGGATACCAGGCGAAAAACAAAAAACTGAAGTGGTTGACGATGTGTATAATGGAAGAAAAACCTCATGGAAGCGGGAGGAAACTTCTGGAAGACATCATACATCAAAAAATAGCCAACATGATGGGGAATGATGCACCTCGACCCAGAGCTGCAGAATTATTTTTGTGTTCATAGTGCCGAGAGATTCCAGTTCTTGATGCCTTTTCACGGAGCCCAATGAAAGAGCGCAGAGGAAGGTCACAGTACATCCATGCTTCCTTTCATCTGCCCTCATCAGTAAAGCTGTTCTGCTGGCCTCCAGTATGCAGGAATGCTGCCTAGCCTGTGTGCATGTAAGCATTCACTGCCATGGGGATTACAGCTCCTGATTGGCTTGTCTGATTAGTGCACATGGCATGCTAAAGGCTAACATAGCCTATGTGCTAAAATATTAAAATATTGATGTCATGGCGGGAGTGACGTCATGACTGGATTGGGAGTGACGTCATGGCTTGAGTGACGTCATGGCTGGAGCGGGAGTGACGTCATGGCTGGATTGGGAGTGACGTCATGAGTGGATTGAGAGTGACGTCATGGCTGGAGTGACGTCATGGCTGGAGCGGGAGTGACATCATGAGTGGATTGGGAGTGACGTCATGGCTGGAGCGGGAGTGACGTCATGAGTGGACTGGGAGTGACGTCATGGCTGGAGTGGCATCATGGCTGGAGCAGGAGTGATGTCATGGCTGGAGCAGGAGTGACGTCATGGCTGGATTGGGAGTGACGTCATGGCTGGAGCGGGAATGTTCTCTGGTGCCCTCTGGTGCTCGCGGGATGTTGGCAGGAGCTGTTCTGGCCTCTGCGATGGGTCTCCTGACTGGGCATGTATGACCTGCAGCGTGTTTATTAAAAGCTGGAGTGTGATACAGGCAGTCTGACCATAAGTGGGCTGGATGGGGGGTCCAGACCATATGTGAGAAAGATGCAGACTCCGTGCGGTTGGCAGCAGTCTGTGTGCATCCAGTTTGCAGGTCTTCTCAAAACTCACTTGAACTTTTTTTTGCCCTTTCAGATGAAAGAGACCGCGTGCAGAAAAAGACATTCACAAAATGGATAAACCAACATCTCTTAAAGGCGAGTATCTCTTCCTGCTGTGTGTCCCATGTGTCCAAAGTCACTTCCTGCATTTTTCAGCCACGGAGTTTCATGTTTTGGTGTTGATATCATTTCTCGATGTTTGAGCTGCTTTATCCTAATGACCTGTCAATGATAAATTTCAATCCTAAATCTGGTGCTCGACTGTCATGCCTGACTGGTGTACATGGGGATTGTAGTTCTACTGTTATGGAACATTAGCATACGTATCTTAGGCGAGGGGCATCGTAGGAACAGAAGCTGATCCCGTCTCCCTGCTGTAGAACGTGCTTTGGTGACACATTGATGGTCCTCTAGGCAGAGTGATTTTGCGATGGAGCTGCGAGTTGCTGATGGGTTGCAAGTTCAAGCCCACTGACATGTTCATTGGCTGCTAAACCTTGCCAAAGCATTTTAGGTCAAAGCTGATTGGGTCCTTACTTGTTGACTTGTGTGAATGTCGCGGTACTGCCCTCGTCCACTGGTGAGGTGAAGTCTGCCTCTGGACTGGAAGCATTGCCTCCTGATATGGGCTGCAGTGCAGATCCTTCCTGTCTTCCTAGCCCCACCTGCTGTCCAAATCCAGGCGGATCTTTCTCCTGTCTTGTCTAAGCAGGACCTCAGCCTCAGTAGGCACTCCCCTGCTTGCCGGAATGTTCTGGAACGTGTTTGGCCTGGTGTGTTCATCTCAATAATAAATTAGACTGGTCAACAAACACAGTTGCCCTGTATAGGACGGGCCAAAGTCGCCTCCACCTGTTGAGGAGACTGAGGTCCTTCAGGGTGTGCAGAGAACTCCTACGGACTTTTTATGACACAGTAGTGGCCTCAGTAGTTCTCTACGCTGTTGTGTGCTGGGCAGGGAGCAGCTCGGACAGAGACAGGAAAAAACTTAACAAGCTTGTTAAGAAAGCTGGCTCTGTCCTGGGCTGCACACTGGGCACCATCGAGGAGGTGGCGAACAGAAGGATGATACTAAAACTGTCATCCATTATGGATAACCCCTCCCACCCCCTGCACCACACTGTGGAGGCTCTGAGCAGCTCCTTCAGCACAAGACTGTTACACCCTCAGTGCAAGAAGGAGCGCTTCCGTCGATCATTCCTCCCCACAGCTATTAGACTTTACAACTCCAGTGACCACATAATCAGTATATATATAATCCCTGTATATGTACATATGTGTGTGTGTGTGTGTATATATGTATGTATGTATGTATATATGTATGTATGTATGTATATATATATATATATATATATATATATATATATATTTCAGCAGCTGTTATCCATATACCTAGCATTGTGTATATGTTTCTTTTTTTCTTACATTTTTACTTATATATTTTTACAGTTTTAGAAATTGTTTTCTATTGTTTTTATTATCTGTATTGTTATTTTTTTGCTGATCCTATGGATCCTGTCCTTTTTTTGTACTGTCTTTTTTCATTATTGCTGCTGTTTTCTCAGAGAATTTCCCCATTGTGGGATTAATAAAGTCTAATCTAATCCAATCTAATCTAATCTAATCTAATCATGGCCATCTATGCCAATATAAAAGGCACGTGACAGGTATTTAACTTCCGGGGTGAGCACTGGAGGACTTGGGATCTGGAAAATACCATCATCAGGATGCTGGAATTTCCATCCCTAGTGGATGGAACGCCTGTCACGTTTCATCTGTCTGTTAGATGCCGATTCCATCCATTTGGCAGTTTTAAAACACCACTTGGGTGCTGTACAGGTTCTAGCTGCAGTAAACCTTTCCTGGATGTCCTCCTTCATCCCCCCTTTCCCTCACGTGAACTCCTCAGGGATAGTGAATATGTCCACAGGCCTGTTAGTCTCGGTGCCGTGCCTATACTCTGCCGAGTGACCCGGGCCTGGCCCGCTCGAAGCAGGCTCATCCGGATCTCGTATCCGCATCCATATCGGGTAGTTGATCGTGGTGGGGGGGCTTGGGAAGGCTGGTCACCGTGACAGCAGCAAGCTCCATTCTTGTGGCCCAGTGAATGGGGTACGGCTCCCCTGAAGAGAAGGGCGGGTTTGTTATTTCTGGGGTCCCACTGCCCAGATGTCTCAAAAACAAAGTAAATTGCTAGCAATTAGAGTCAGAAGATCATAACTAATAGGCGTACAGTATTGTGTTTGAGCGTACTTTCTCAGTTGTACTTACTGACTGAGTGTTGACGCACTTAATAAATGTGTACGTTTATTCAATCAGTGTGTGCAATGTAGCGCTTCAGGTTTTCCAAGATGGGCAGAGTACTTAGAATAGAGCCGTGAAGGAGCGTCACTGGGGAGGTGACTTCACAGTGGAGAGATTCTTTATAAGCGCAGGGCAGAGCACGGGAAGGGCCGCAGTCATCCAGAATACAGACAGGGAGGGTGTTTCGCTGCAGAGCCGGGAAGGCCGGAGAGCGACGTCATGTGAGGCAAACCTGCCGCGTGGTAAACAGGTGCAGGAAAACCGAGGCTAAAAACGGGAGTGTGGCTCGGCAGATCAGGGCACTGTAATCAGAAGGTCGTTGGTTCACATCTCAGGGTCGGCGGAGTCACTGTTGGGCCCACGAGCAAGGACCTTAACCCCCCCCCCCCCCCGAGTTGCCTCAGGCACTTTCTGACCCTGGAAATATGTACAGTCAGTCCTGCTACAACATGTGACATCACACTGCAAATCTGTTGTAACACGATTAATATATTAGTAACAAAGTCCAATACAACTCGGATTCACATATGTATATGTTGAATTTCAGACAGAGAGAAAAGCACTATGCGAGCAACCAACAGGATATGGTTTTGGCGAGAAACGCTAAGTTTGTATGCAAAAACAGTAATCTGAGAGAACAACAGTGATGTCCGATTCATGAATGAATCATTCTTTTTCTCGATGAATCAGTTGAACCGGTTTTGAACTTTTAGTAAATCCACACATTGCACAGGTCAAAGTCTTCTAAATATCACACCCGGCCGCATGGTGCCCCTCCGCGTATCGTAGTCTGTTGTATTTGTGTTGTGTTCATGCCCGGCCGCATGGTGCCCCTCCGCATACCGTAGTCTGTTGTATTTGTGTTGTGTTCATTCCTGGCTGCATGGTGCCCCTCCGCGTACCGTAATCCATCAGTCCATCCATCCATCCATCCATTTCCAGTAGCCACTTATCCGGGAAGGTCATGGAGATCCATCTGTTCTTGCGTGAAGCTCGGGGCCGGATATCAAAATCACGTACACACATAATTCTGACTAATAAGCATTTCCCTCTTTTCCTGACCCAGGTACGAAAGCACGTAAACGACCTGTATGAGGACCTCAGAGATGGACACAACCTGATCTCGCTGCTGGAGGTCTTGTCTGGAGAATCACTGGTGAGGAAGCCTTTTTGTGAAAACCCCCGCCCCACCAGTACCCCCACCCTCTCACGGAAACGGGTGCAGTGTTCCTTTCCACCTGCTTACATGGTTGTATGGGACGCTTCCTTGAATACAACCCGCTTCGTGATCTGAGCGTCTCTGCGTTGCTGGTCATGCGACACGAAGGCGCGCAAGCTGCTACGGCAGCTGTGTGGCACCAGGCTGGTGGCCGGGACTTGTACTGCAGGAAATGTATGGCTGTCGTACCATCTGAGGATGGGTGTGACAGTGCTGCATCAGTGGTTGCAGAGTTAGCATGCAAGTCCCAGTTAATGCCACCAGTCAAGCAAATGATTATATAAAAAATACATGGTAAAAATGAAAAATGTTGAGATCTGTTTTCAGTTTGTTCTAGTGGCACAAAAATATTGATTCAATGATACAGTAATGCAGTAATGCTCACAAAAGCGTCCATTCGATATCCGTAACAGCTGCTGAACTGCAGGCTTGTGCCCATGGATTACTAATATCCCATGTAACACCACTAGGTGACACCATTGAGCTCCCTGTGAACTGGTGTCTGAGCACTGGGGCAAATTTGTATTTAATTCCTGAGGGCCTCCAGGTGTTTTGTGTCAGAAGATAACTCCTGACGGCAGACGTCATTGGCATTTCGTAAACATGTCACCGTTAGAGCTGGACAGAGGGGGGAATGATGTAATAACGAGCTTTTCTCGCTCTGCTACCGTCCGATGTAACTGTGACAGTTACAGAGCACACGTTGTGCTCTAAATTATAACGAAATGACCCTCTGTTGTCGGGAGTTACATGAATTGGAATAGTTCTGCAGTGAACGGTTGACAATGTCCAGCACGATAACACACGGCTACTGAACAGTACCTCCATTTTCCAGATCTAGTGTGAAACACATTGCGTCACTTTGATTAGCATGATTTGGCTGTAATGTTATTTGTATGCTGCCCCTAGTGGAGTGGAGGTGATCACCACGCTGGGACGACTCCCAGAATGGCTGCCTGGTATTCCTCTTGCTCATATCCTGTTTTTACCCTTTCCTTCTTTCATCTTCTTCTTATTCCCCCTTATTGTCTTTTCATCCTTTCCTTTTCATGTGTCCTGTCTTTATGTCCCCCCACCCTGTGTTCGTCCCCCCGCCTTCCTTAACACGGGTAAGCCAAGGGAGCGTGATTTTCTGAAGACCTTGCGGTTGGTGAGTGCGCCCGAAGCATGCGCCCCTCAGCAGCATGGAGATGCACAGGATGATGACAAGGGGGTAGGTGTGGAAGCCCCCACCCTCTCCTGCCCCCTTGTGGTAGCACTAATGCAGCGTGTGCCCTGGTCATTAACGAGAGTGGAGACCCCCTTGGCTCGTTCGTAGACGGTTCTAGCGGACAGTGTGGTGACACGCAGGGCTGTGCTCTGGCAAGGTCGGCTTCTTCTGCAGGTAGCGACTTTCCTTCACGTTCGACCCGTAGTTGCTGCTCAGGGGAGAGGCACTGCTCTCAGCTCACGCTTTGTTTTAGCCGACTGCTGAGCCCAGGACTGGGACCCAGGTTCGAACACCCCACTCCTTGTAAGCACCGCTGAAGCACCGCGGTCGCTGTGGATCATTGCCATACCAAACCCTCTGTATCAGACCATTCATCACAGAGAGCTCTGCTTGCCACTGGAGGTGGAGCCTGGGTCCTTGGTTCTGGTGCCGGTAGCTCTGCTCACAATGGCACCACCCCACCCTGGCCCGTCCATCTCCATACTCACATCGGCTTCCCTTCAACACGGAGCGAGAGCACATCCATGTCCCGGCACAAGGGGGCGCCGATGAGGGCATGTCACGTGGATGTGCCTTCAGGGGTGCTGTTTCACTGCTGCATTTGGCACCCCTGAGGTGCCCCAGCTCCTCTGAGAAGGGAAATATCCAGATGGGTGCCTTCAGTGGGTCTACGGTGTCCCTCCTCTCGGGGGCGCTGTTGTGCTGCGTTATTCCATCTCATTATCTCATGCTGTGGCCTTCATTCTCCATCCACAAAGCTCCTTGCTTCTGTCAGAAATCATTTGGTTCAAAAAAACATCATTTTATCCTGTCTATGTGGGTTCTAGAATATTCTAGGTGTTTAACCGGGGTTTGTAAAATGGTAAATTATTTATCATGTTAATGCAGCATTGAATTCACTGAATCCCGCTCACTGGCATTTTTTTTAGCTTATCTGTGTAAATTAAATGGTCTTGATGGTCTTTCATTTATAAAAGTAGGTTATGTATTTTTTTTAATGGGTTCAATGGGTTTAATCGGCCGAAAGGTGAGCAGAATTAAAGGAATATCTTTGACATACTTTTTTAATAGAAGCACAGCGTCATACTAGTCACAGTCACCATCATGCCCTTCCCCCCCCCCAACACACACATACATGAATACACGTTAGACCTTTTCTTTCCATGTTAGAGATGCAGTCAGGATGCCCAGCAGTGTGTGGGTTAGGGTTAGGGTTAGGATTAGGATTAGGGTTAGGATTAGGGTTAGGATTAGGGTTAGGATTAGGGTTAGGGTTAGCTTCTACTCTGGAGGGAGGCTCTGTTTTTCATTAGCGATGCCCCCTACTGGCAGAGCCCCTACACTGCTTGCCTCCCGGGATGTCACGCCCCCCAGGGCTGTGGGTAAGAGCCTGGAGGCGTGTCCTCTGTCCCCCACTAAGCGAGGTGCGGTGAGTCACGGGCCGTTTGCAAAGGGGCACGGGATTTGGTGGGAGCTGTGACTGGTGCGCTGGTCCCTCTGGAACCCTCTCTGACTGGCCCCCCACCCCCTGTCTCCCCGTTTTCACTGCAGCCCCGTGAAAAAGGCCGGATGAGGTTCCACCGGCTGCAGAACGTCCAGATAGCGCTGGACTACCTAAAACGGCGGCAGGTAAGGCAGCATGGCTGGGGGCCTGCAGTTCTGTGGGAGGGACATCTTGAAAGTTCCAGAGACGCTCTGCTGTCACCTGTCACCATCTTGTCAACAGAACTAGCTGCTATGAAGAAAAAAAGGAGCTTTTATGGATAGTTAAACCTGGAGTGGGAGTTGACCATGTGCTATCATGTACTGACTGCTTTAACCCGAATCTCATTGGTTACATTCTTGGTTGTCGTTGGATGTATCCAATCAGAGACTGTTGGAGCATGGTAAGCCTCACCCATCTGTGGTGTGGTGCCTCAGCCCCAGGCCATTGGGCTGTTATGGGTGCGTCTGCTGGCTGGTTACCGTGGAGACAGCCTCTAGATGGGCTGCATGTATTCATTCCTGAGCTGTGGGTGAGAGCAGAGCTTACTCAGCTGTGAGGAATGATGTCACCGGGAGCGGCCCGTGCCCTGCACAAACGACTCATGGTTCAGGACATAAAGGTCCTGTTTATGCCAGGCGGGCCCTGCCTGCTGTCATCCCCCAAAAGTGCCCGACGGGGTGCAGCAGAGATCGGAGAGCCTGCCGGCCGCAGGTGGAACCGTCGGCACATAGGAGCAAAAGGGACATGAACGCGATACTGATCACATGGAGGACTCAGTGTGATGGCAGCTGTCCTTGCCAAGCCTGTGTGACGACTCCGCGAACCCACACAAATGCGTGTGTAGATGGCGGGCGGCTGTGTGTCTGCACGGGTTCGAATCCCACTCTTGGGCTTAAGACCTTAACCCCCACTTGGCTGAGTCTAAAGAGAGAAAGCAGGATCGCTTTATCGCTTTAGATAAAATAAACAGACATAAACAGACCATTAAGACACCAGTCTGCTTCTGAGTAGCACTGGTTCAGGATCCAGAGCCAATCAGTGATGTCAGTCATTAACCAGCCAAACGCTGTTTATTCTCCCAATAACTCTTAAAACAGACAACAATCATTATTAGTTTAATGTTTGATTTTTATAATTAACTGTCAAATCTACGTTTCAGAACTACCCGTTTTTAGGGTAACATTGTTATCCCTTTCGTTTGATTCAATTTAATGCAGTTTAAAATTAATGGGAATTTCAGTTTTAATACATTTTTACTAGGTGACTATGAATAACATAGGGAAAAGGTTTGTTTTTCTTCTGCAATATTTGATTTTTGTTTAAATGGTGATCTGCTGTCCCCTAGTGGTGCTTTAGTGAATCAGACATTTGATTAAAGGGTTTATTAAACATTAACATTATGAAAATGTGCATGCAGTGTTAGACTCTTCCTTGAGGACAAATTGCTTTGAGTCTGAAATCTGATAGTAAAATCCATTGATGCTGAGATTGATGCTTTAAGCGAAAAATCAGATATGCCACCAATACAAATGGGGAATCCTGGATAGATTAAACCTTGCATCTGGTATCTCTTTAACGAGCACAATATCAAGTACGTATGTTTCTTTTTCTTTCCTGCAATAATTAGGTGAAGCTTGTCAACATCAGAAACGATGACATCACCGACGGGAACCCGAAGCTGACCCTGGGATTGATTTGGACCATAATTCTGCACTTCCAGGTAATGCCCTCTTAATGTGTTCTGCCAATGGATGCTAATGATGATGCGCGCTGAACTTTTCCAGCATTTGCCCTGTCATAAGCTATTGTTGTCTTCATATTATTACTTTACTTTTTGCAAGTCATTCTTAGTGGTTTTAAAATTGTAATTCAAACTGTGGCCACAAGAGGTCAGTCTAAACGTATTATTTATTATGGACAATGTGGCAGATGTTTGGAAATTTGTTGCTGAGACGTGGAAAGTGGCATGGGTCTGTTGTAGGGTTATTCTTGTCTGCTCAATCAGAAGGGCTGGTTTGTAAGGAAACACAATTAAGAGATTAATAAACAGTATGTGTCAAAAAAAGACAGTTTGTCGTTCTTATAGCACTAAAAGGTAAATGTTTTCCCTTTGCACTGAGCCATGGTTAACTGTTGGTGGGTTAGTTACCGTTGGTTAAATGCCTCCATGAGTGTGGGTCTGAATACCAGCATTTCATACGTCTTTAAATGGCCAGTTATTTGATATGTGGTGTCGATTTATTTTTCATATAGAATGCTGACCTTTGGGCCATAGCGGTGTGGTTGATTAGGGTTATTTATGAATGGCTATTAAACGTGTTACGCGATATAGCCAGCAAAATATTACTTTGGACGATGGCAATATTAGATTATCATGAAAAGGGCACAGAAATTTAGGTACAGAGATGAAATGAATGCAGAGCCGCCTGATCTATGATAGACTTTCTCTTTGCTGATGTGAGTCATGGTTTAAAATGGCCTAAGCTCTGTGGTGTCAGGTAGGGTCAGGTAGGGACCTTTAATGTCCATCTTACCTTATGAAGTTAAGTAACAGGTGAAAAACCTCAGTGGTTTCCCACAATTCCTTAGTCTGGAAACTGCATCAGCCAAAAAAATGGCAGCCGGCCGTCCTTTGTCTGACTGTGCTGGCAGCCGGCCGTCCTTTGTCTGACTGTGCTGGCACCCATGCCTTTGCTGGGATGCCTGGTGCCTGTTGGTTACTCAGGTTGTGCTTCGAATGGGATCTGTATGCCTGTTCTGAGATGATTGATTTATACCGGCCTTTTCACCAGAATCGCAACGTCGGCTTGCAGTATGTTGTGCTGAAATACTGAACCTTGGGGGGTCATGAGGATCATCCTTCCCCGGAGCACTGAGTGCTCTGGCGTGTTTCTGCTCTCTGTGCCTCTGGGTGCTCCTGAGTGATATTAATACCCCCCCCAGCTGGGCAGGGTGTGTTAGATAATCTCTGTGTGACTCTCGATGAGGAATCTTCACTGGGCCAAACGTTCAGCATGGCGCGGACCAGTGGGGACATTCTGACCCCCCTGTCAGCCCAGTGTGACCCTGTGTGATGGTTCCGCCCAGCATCATGCCAGCCAGCCTCAGCGCCAGACTCAGCAGGGCGCGGTCCTGGTGGAGAGGAGGAGTGACACCCCTCCGTCCTGCTGCCTGCCCAAACAGAGATCTGCATCAAAATGTGATATTCTGGGAGTATTTCTGGGAGGGATGGCAGCACTGAGAGGCTAAAGAGGTGGTGTTTTATTGAGCTTGGTGTGATAAAGCACGCTGACAGGTAGCGTCGGTGACGCAGGGGGCCGCGGGGGCTGGGGGGGGGTTCGTAGGCTTGCACCTGCCCCTGTCAGTCTCACGCGAGGCGTCTGGCATCGGCGCTAGTGGCTACAGACCTGCCGCTGCTTGACTCCCAGAGTGGCAGCCAGCCGCACCGACGCTCTACATTCCAGCCAGGATTTTCAGGCCCTTCTGTGCCTCTGGCTGCGATTCCTGTCCACAGCCTTCGGCATCTCTTACAGCCCAGCTGCTCCTAGATGGGGGCGGCTTGCCAGTAGAAATATGACTTGGCCTCATGACTGTTGATTCCGGTCCTTCTGGTGCCACCCTGTGATCAGGGCTGCCCATAGGGACCTCCCACTCCCCTTGGGGGCTGGGTATCCTGCATGGAGGCAGAGATTTCCCTTGTCGCAGGTATTGTTAGGCTGATGTGCCTTGTGATCACTAGCTGGAGTCCCACAGTTGGCAGAGAGACGTCATCCTTCAGCGAGAGCCCTGACCTCTGGATGACCCTGCTTTCTCAAAAATGTGTGTCATTTTTGGATACAAGTTTCTGCTAAGTAAATAAAGTGTAAATATAACACAGCCATGGTACACTGAAGAAAGCACAAGTAGCTGATTCGCTCAGAATGGTGCCCAGTCTCTGATGTCTTGTGAAGCTGTGGTGAGGAAAAGGTCCTGTAATGTCGCTGCCCATAATCACCCAAGAGCAGATTTAAAAAATGACGCAGCTTAAGTAACCCGCTGTGTTAGTGAAGTATACCTGAGCAACAAGGTCAAAGGTGGAATCCAGATGCAAAATCTGTCCACTCCTGCTCTACCTGGCACTGGTTGGTCCTTGGAAGTGCTTTGCAGCATGTGATTATAATATTTCCTGTGACCAAGGCAGTGTCTGGGGACACAGCCGGGCTCAAAACATAGTAGAACTTTCAGAACTTTCCAGAGATGATGGCCAGCTGTCGTTCAATGTGCCGCCAGGTTGGGGAGCAGTGTGATGCAGCCACATTTGCAGGTGGTTTGGGTTCGACTGAAGTCCCATGGAATTATGGGAACGGGACTGACACGCAAACAAACACAGGGCTTCTAAACTGCTTTATTGAAGGAAGCCATAAAAAGAGGAATGTGTTATGTGGGAAGATAAATGGCCTTAAGGAGCGGCGTCCAGCTCCGCGAGTCGAGGCGGGGGCAGGGACATGCGCCAGCAGGAGGGAGTTCAGCATCACGCCGCCCGGTGGCTGACTTGCCTCGCAGCCTCTAACCTTCAAGCGGAGTCACCGGGGCGGGAGGGGGGAACAGCGGTTATTTTTAGTGCAGCTATGCAGAGGACAGGATCCTAACATTCGAACACCAGCTCCTGAGCAGATGTCCCACCAGCAGACCTGATCCCATCAGCAGGGCGAGCCTGATACTCAAATGCTGGAAATTTTCGTACGTGGGCAGGTTTCCAGGCCTGTTCAAGTTCAGACAGAATTAGAAGCGTCTCTCTTATTCCTGAACAGAACCACACCGTGAGCCGGCACCCCAGCTTCACATCTTCGGTTGAAAATAGGAGGAACTTGTTGACAAACTGTGTTCTTATTTTGGCGCCTCACGCTTAATGTGCGTCTGATTTCAGTTGATAATAGAGGCGCCATGGTGTTTGAGTTTGTTATTCAACCCATTAAAATATCGAGCAGTAGGACTTTTTTCCTTTAGCTCTAATGCCAGGGTGGATAAGAGTCTGGTCAGGTGGGGTCTTCGTTATATAATCCCGTCTTTCTGGGACGGGGTACGCCTTGCTCTTCTCCCAAAACCACGGTCCGCGTAATTGGCAGGGTTCGAGCTCCAGATTAACTGGCCACACAGGAGCTCATTGTGGGTCGCGGAGGCTCATGCTAATCTCCCGCTCTCTCGCTTGGTGACCCCACATGCCCCGTTCTTAAAGCACGCACCGCATGCTGGGCTGGTTCGCACCCAAAGCCGTCTCTGGCCACGTCTGCCTGACTTGAGTTGCTGCACCGAGTCTTAATATCTATTTTACTTTCATGCGCCCCTGGTAGTGGACAGCATACGGATGGTGAACCCAAGCTCCGCAGTCTGACGACACAGGTTCCAGGAATAGAAACTCTTTTTTGGGGGGCGTGTGGGCGGGGGGGAGCTTTGCAGAAGCCATGTTTTTTTCACAGTGGTCCTGTTTTGGATGAGGCTGTCCTTAGTGCGGAGAAGAGCGCACCCCCCCAACACAAGCCAGCTTGGCATTGTTTGTTTTGAAATCACGGGTGACGGAACCGTTTCAAAGGTCACAGCGAATTCCAGAGACCGTGTGGAGTCAGCAGAGCGAGGGAGAGCTGGTCGGAGCGCGGGGCGCTTTCGCTTTTGGCCTGTGAATGCGGCCCCCCCTGTGAGAAGCGTGAGCAGTTGGTGACTCGTACCGGTGGCAGCTCCCTCCGCCACACACAGTGGGAAAAACGGCGACCTCCACAAGGGATCCAAGCGCAGTTGTGGACTGAGTTAAGTTTATTCAACTCCCCTCTGTGTGTGGGGGGGGTCGAGCGGGGGGGAGGCAGTGAGTAAAAAGAAAAGGGCAGTGGCTGCCGGAAGCCACATTGCTGGGGAAGTGATGGCTGCCTGACCGCCATGGGCAACATCTGCGGCTGTGTGCGGGGCCCCCAGGAGGAATGCCATGTGGACCCCGCCAAGGTGCCGTTCAGCCCGGGCTCCGAGGAACGCGGTCCCGGCCGCCGCTACTTCCAGAGGAGGAAGAAGAGGAAGTCCAGCGAGTTCCAGCCCAGAGATTCCTTGAGGAGTTTGCGGTCGGCCGACGGGTGCGAGTGTGAGAGCCGGGCAGCCCCAGCCCCCCATGCGGAGATGGCCAGTGACAGCTGTGGAGTGTATGTGGGAGAGGTGCCGGTCGTCCTGAGTACGCTCCAGAGACCTCCACACTGTCGGGAGGCCAAGCGGGGGAGCTCCCACTGGGCCGCGGACGTTTCGGCGGTGGGGGACCGGCTGCATGGCGTGACTAAACCGTCCAGACGGCCGGGTCCCAGGGACAGCCCGCTGGAGCGGCGGCTGCGGCAGAAGCAGGTCCGGCGGTCACTGACCTTCGGGGCTGTAGAGCACCTGCTGCAGGCCAGCGGCGCGGGTGTGGGTGGGGGCGCGGGTGGGGGCACAGCAGTGCGGGTGTCTGTCTCCAGTCCCCAGCGACGCCGTACTCGCCCCAGCAGCACTGAGGATCTCCCGACCGGAAAGGTCGCCAGAGTCTTCAAAAGATCAGAGAGGACAGGGACAAGACAGAATGTGTCTCACAGAGTGTCTTACAGCAGAGGCTCTTGGGACATTTCCCAGGATGTCTGGACACATATTCCCAGGCAGTGTGAGGTAAACCGGATCCGGGATGGTGGGGCTTTGCACACTTCCTCAGTCTGTTTACATGCAAAGTGCTTGTGTAGTTTGTGAAGTTAGACATGAAAACCTTGAGTGGAATTGAATATTAATGTACTGATGAATTTCCAGAAGGAAATGGGAGATGGCAGGCGATAATTTCTTTGAAATCACCATTGTTCCTATTTTAGTGTACAGAGCATTTTGAGGCAATAAAATTTATCCGAATGACTTTTTCCATGGCAATAATGATCTTAAGGGTGGTTGGCTGGCACTGGAACAAATGGTGCTTAGCTCAGAGTTTCTGTCGCACTCCTGGGTGGACTCAGCAGGCGTTGGGCTCCACAGATGCCAGACTTTTGGGTCATGCATTTAGCAGATCCAGAAAGCCCCCGACGGCGATGCCTGAGACAGGAAGTGGTGGTTCTTTGGATGGCTTTCATTCTCATGACCCTGTTTGACTCTTCACTGATGTTTATATTTCCTGTGAGGCTTTTACCCTTCATGTCTGATTGATTCTGTTAGCAAATCTTCATGTTTAGCTCTTTTATTGCTGCGTCTTATTGGTTAAAAGTATGTAAAACCATACAATTAGGCCTTGAAGCTGTTTCTCAGGAAGAAGGCTGAGGTTTGGGCCTCCTTTAGAGTTAGAAACTCTCACAGAAATAGCTACAGTAAATACCATATAATCCTTTAAGGTTCCAGATAAAATTGAGCTTCATTCAAATATACAAGTGATGAAAATAGCACTGGTGATGCTTCTCCTGGATGGAGAAGGGTCCCCTATGTCGTTAAGTGTGGACACGGTTTCAGTAGCTGATGGTGGCTTTAGTTAGGGAGCACTTATCCAACTGGGGATGAGATACTGGATATTTATGAATAACAAGGCCTCACCCAGGCAGCGCTACAGGCTACACGTCTGTGGGAAATGAAGGCTGGACTGGGAGAGGAGCTGACGGTGATCAGCACATCCATTTCCCACGCCCTCCTGACCACTTGCACATGGAGAACTGCTGTACCTGAACGAACGTTTCCGATAAACGTGTAGCTCTGGGGCGCGGTTTTACTGAGCAGTCAGAGAGCTTACCGTCATGGTAACGCAAGCTAAGGCCACATTACGGCCGCAAGGCGATCCGCTAACCGTCTTGGCTTATATGACTAAGTGTGTGTACTTTTGGCAAGTTAATCTGGCGTAAACTGTCAGCCTCAGAGACACTGTCATGCTGTCAGGATATTTTTACTGAAGGTAAATTTTGCAGGAGGGACTCATCCACGGAGGCTGGTCTCCATTGCAGAAGCAGAATCGGCTGTCAGCTGTAAATATTTAAGGAATCTAGTTTGAAAATAAGTAGCAGTTAATTAACTTATAGCATCTAGCTGGAAACTGAGCTGGCTGACATAAAAGCCATCATCAAGTTAGGATTGGGGTTTAGGGTTAGGGTTAGGGTTAATTATGTTAACTAGACAGTTTGACGACAGCGGGGCAGTAATCCTGTTGCTCTGTAGCGCTGTTGGTCTTGTGACCAGCTCTGCCCTCTCACTTCCATTATGGGTGCAACACAATACCTTGGCGTTTCAGGGGCTTATTTTGGGTGGGTCAGGTTTGTAAAAATAATAATAATCAACAATATTCATGTACCAGTAACATTTGGAAGTGGTTTGAGTCATACGACATGATTCTTGGTTTGGGGGGAGTGAGTCTCCTGTTTCACGGACTCTCACTGACTGCCTGAGACGTGCAAGATGAATATTCCTGTCGACATTGATGCAGATAACGAACCAGCTAAAGAGTTTTAGTGAGCTGTGTTTGTTTGAATCAGTTCTGTTTTGCGACATTGAGAAACACTCAGATCTGTTTTACACTGGGCCATAAACTGCATTGAAGTTCAGTCTCTAGCAGCTTAGAGAGTTTTCCTGGATGCACATGTTGATTAGATTCCAGGTGGGCTGATTACACTTGCACGCATGCCTTCATTGTTACGGCAGCTCAGCTATTTGTACGTTTACCTGAGACACTGTGAGAGGAAAAGCAGCTTCAGCAGACTTTGCTCAGTCAGCATGACCTCAGTGAGAGCAAAGCTTCCTCACACTTGTGAAGCAGATTGAAATGAGCCCTTCCTTTTAACTGGGGGTTGTGACCTGAAATGCTTTCCTCTCTGTAGCATCCAGGTGTACACACACGCACACACACACACACATACACACACACACACGCACATGTAGGGTAAACATATCCTTATGGGGACCGTTCATTCATTTCAATGGGAAAATGCTAACGCTAACTATGACAACCTTAACCCCTACCCTGCCCTAACCATAACCATAAATAACCAAACAAAATACAAGAGTTTTTGCATTTTTAGTTTTGTCATAGCAGTCACCCATTTTTATAAAAATAAAAACGGATATTTATCACGTTATGGGGACATTGTGTCCCCATAAGGATAGGTAAACCCGCTCGCACACACACACACACACACACACACACATGCTGAATCCCACACATAGCCGCTAACGTTAGCACACTCCATAGAAAATAAGCGCCGCAGACTGAATGTGGCAGCTCACAGTTTAAAAGCCATGCTGTGTGTGTAATTCTGGTGTACAGTCCCTTTCGTGTCCCCCTCATTACTTTAACATATTTAATGACTGTTATTAAAAAGGCTTCGTCGCTGAGCACGTGATGCCATTTTGGAGTTTATTTAGTGATGCAGTGAATACTCAGAATGGGGGGGGGGAGTGAAAACTGAGGAATGTAGATTCCCCTTGACCCACCTCCTGCCCTGTTATGCTCTTTTTGCTTTTTAAATGATACAAATCTGTCAAAGTCGCTACATCGTAATTAAGAATTTTTGTGTATCTTGGGTTGAGGGCAAGGTGACCTTGGTGCAGAATCAGAACATCCTAAACAGAATGTGAGTCCTGGTTTGTCCCCTTTATCAGTCACAGTGTTTGTCATTTTCTTTTTCACTTTCCTTCATTTTTCTACACTTGCTCAGTCAGAGCAATGGGTGCGTGGGACTTTATGTAATGATATATTTATGTAAGATAAGAGATTACAGGTTCTGACAGTTATGCAATGGGGCTATCTGCTTTCACTTTAACTTGCGACATTAGCCACCTGACTTTGAAAGACTTGGCAGGATTTCACTTTGGTGTGGGGGGGGGGTCTCCCATTGTTTGACCATGCTCATGGTGCAACATTGTGGCTTTTTGCAAGACAATACTCGTGTGAGGTTTTTCCCACAGTCTTTATGTTGATTAGCCCTGTGTTCATAATCAATGTTAAGTCAATAGTGTCTTGTATCTGTGTTAATTTTTGTCTGTGGGATTATGAAATGGCATATTTCATCAGAAATTATGAAATCCCCAATCTTTCTAAAATAAGGTTAGAGATGATGCTCTGGTTTGGATGTCATTGGCCACACAGTGAACCATACTTTGGTGGTTCTGGCACTGATGGTAACAAGATGGGCACCAACGTTTCTCAGATCTCGGATATCCATGTTACGGGGGAGTCCGAGGACATGACGGCCAAGGAGAGGCTTCTCCTGTGGTCCCAGCAGATTACTGAGGGCTACGTGGGAGTCCGCTGTGATAACTTCACTACCTCCTGGAGAGACGGACGGCTCTTCAATGCCATCATTCACAAACACAGGTGACAGATGTGTCTTCTGGGCTAGCGGCGACCTTGGGTATCGTTGCATGGTTTCGGGGGTCGTCGCCAAGTATCTTTTTCATGATCATGTAAGGTTGGCAAGACTTGCAAATTTAGTAAAGCCTCAGATTTCTGGCACACAGCAGCCCACTTGATTTGCAGTTTGCGGCTGTCACAGCAAGCAAGGTCATGTTTTGAGGCCTAGAGCCTTAGGAACCAAGAAGTCTTCTTCTGTGTATAACCTTTGAATGCCAGCTGTACACTTGACAATGGACAGCAAACTATTTGTGTGTTTTATATATCTACACACACACACACACACACACATGTATTGGAGACTTCTGGCAAATTGATTGTTGTAGATATGCTCTCTGACATAATGTAAAGCACCACTTTCTTTGTTTCATGACAGTCAGCCATCCGTTAACAGACGGCCTGTGTTTCCTGTGTCATGTTTCAAGTTTTATTTGTGTGTAGATTATTCACTCTGTATAATACAATGCAGGTCACCTACAACATGTTCTGTGTTTGTGTGGTTTCAGGCCAGACCTAGTGGATATGAGCAGAGTTTCTGTTCAGAGCAGTAGGTCGAATTTGGAGCAGGCCTTCATGGTGGCCGAACGGCTGGGAGTAGCGCGGCTTCTGGACCCTGAAGGTGACCTTCCTGGGGTGGTCTTTCTAGTCCTCTGAGGTGGTCATGATAAGCACTGGGAATGAACAGCGAATACGAACGTGCTCCACTTACCATGGTCTCCTCCCGCATTCTCAGATGTGGATGTGCAGTCGCCCGATGAGAAGTCGGTCATCACCTATGTTTCCACACTGTATGACGTGTTTCCAAAAGTCTCAGAGGACATGGAAGGAATCAGCGCAAACGTGAGTGTTGGGTCTGAAAGGTGTAAAGGAAATGCCAACGACTTCAGTGATTCTGAATTATTGAGATATTAGATAAATCAGCTGATTAATAGTAAGCTATATAACATTAATAATGAAATGGTGCCACTGAATAAATCAGTACCCCAGTATTTCAGGGATGTCTTCTGAAATGCTGCTGTATTTATAGGAATTTTTATGTAATTGACATTTTCGTAGACAGTGTTCTGATACTTGATCTACTGTAGTATTTCTGGTTGGATAAAAACAAAACATGGCCCAGATCGCGTGGTTATGTACAGTGTGGTGTTGTCAATCTTTCTTATTCCCAGAATGCCTAGGGGAAGTGAGACATAGATACCTCCTGCATGTTACTTTGGTTCTAGGTAAAACTCTTAATTCAGAATAAGTTGGCTGACTGAATATCTTACTTTGAAGGAACAAGGATACTTTATAATATTTGAAAATGTGTGTAAGGCATTCCATCTTGACTCTGTTTTCACTATGAAAGCATCCATCTTGGTTAATTTTTGGTGCAAACATCGATTTGACAGCTTGTGTCAAATTCCTGAAAGAAAGAATTTCGGCCATGGGATTCTTGCCAGAGCTCACAGGAAATGCTGCATAAAGAGCAGTCTGCATTTCACTCGTCGTCATAAGGGTCGCATGCCAGAGCTCACAGGAAATGCTGCATATAGAACAGTCTGCATTTCACTCGTTGTCATAAGAGTTGCACAGGTGTCTTAGGGAATGTTATCAAAAGGATTCCAGTATAATAATATTCTCATCAATGATTCCTTAACTGTATCAGGAGGGTGGTTGAAGATGAAACCTCATTATTTCAATGTATTTCTGCGTGTAAATTCAGATGATTATAATAGTAAATTAATGATTATAATGAACTAATAAAGCTTGTACTTGAAAGGGCTTGTCATTACAGTTTAAAATGTTGATGACTAGTTGTTCAGATTGGGATTGGTGTTCTGAGCATTTTTTTAAAAATTATATTTAATTTTTAATTCATATTTAAAATGCAGGTTCTAATGATGCTCTTTATATATGCCATTCAATATTGTATTCCTTCTTGATCTTACCTTAATCCAAGTGATAAAATTTAAAATCTGTATGTTGTACCAGGATGTTGACATCAAATGGGTGGAATATCAGAACATGGTAAATTACCTGAGCCAGTGGATCAAACATCATATAGCCATCATGTCGAACAGAGCGTTTCCCAACAACCCAGCGGAACTCAAGGTAAGAACGTCCTGAATCTCCATTGAGTTGTCCTTGGGGGGTGTTCATAATTAAACACAATAGGAAGGCAAGGTGAGAGTGACTTTTAAGACCAGTCATGTGAAACGCCTTTGATTTTTTTTGCTTTTGTTTTGAAAGGTCTCCTCCCGTAGTCTCCCTGTGCTGAGGTCTAGTGCTATTTCTGGATAGTATTGTGGGCTTTTTAAAGGTCCAGGGGCATGTGTAACTTCACTCCTTTGGAATTTATCATGAATGCATGTACATCTGAATATTAATATCGAGCTGTCAGTAAAGAGATGCAGGGAATAGATTCATATATTTCAACCGTTAACCAACTGTTTCACATCGACTCCTCTGAAAGGAGTAGAGTAGTGTGAGTAACACCTGCTTTTTACTGGCGGTAGGTTATCCCTCCGGAGAAGTTTTGTTATAAATTTGTAATTTATAGGAATTGAACATCAAATTCTTTTTTTCCCTGATAGGCACTTTACAGTCAGTACTTGCAGTTTAAAGAAACTGAAATTCCTGTGAAGGAGAACGAAAAGACCAAAATCAAGAACCTCTATAAAATGTTAGAGGTAAGTATGTGCATAGCTGTGAACATTAAAAGGCTGAGAAACTCTTTGTGAAAACAGATTATTAACAATTGAACTTGTTTTGGGAGCAGGTGTGGATGGAGTTTGGCCGGATCCAGCTGCCACAGGGGTACCACCCGAATGACGTAGAGAAGGAGTGGGGCAAGCTGATCATCGCCATGCTGGAGCGGGAGAAGAGCCTAAGGCCAGAGGTGGACAGGTATGCAGGACCTCAGTACACTGCCAGAGCTACACCATGATTGATAAACAGGTATGCGGCACACCGTTCCTCTGCTGGAGCCGTGCGGTGATTGATAGACAGGTATGCAGGACACCGGTCCTCTGCTGGAGCCGTGCGGT